ATATATGAGATATGAGAGTGATTTTCCATCTTGCCTTCTTTCAGAGTCCTGTCTGGGGTCTCAGGAAGCACCGCTATTTATGATTTTATTAGCCCAGACCTGCCACAAACTCTCTCCTTCAACAGTTTGCTTCTTGGCTGAATGCCTTATTGTCCTTATTGCTGAAATGAACACAGGGTTTACAAAAGCTAGCTAATTTGAGCTAATTAGGGACAGTCCATTCTGAAATATTAAGATGACTGATTTGGGAAGCATACTTTAGAGAAAAGCAGACTTAACTATTAATACATTCAAAGGTTGCTCAAGTGCTCGAGGATAGTGCACAGGCCCTCGAGAGTTCTGGCTCACCTGGGTTTGAATCCCAGCTCCATCACTTGCCAGCTCTGCACCTCCAGCCAAATTTCCATCGCATAGATGCAAACTATGGCAACACTTCGCACTAAGGATGGTTGTGAGGACAAAGACAAACGACCTCTACCACCACACACAGGCAGAAATATAATAGCTACTCAATAATTCATAGACCTTCCACCCCCTTTAAACTGGAAGTAAACAACTTGTTGGCTAATAGAAATCCCAGAAGGACACATTTTCACAACTACTGTAGGATTTGTAATTAGCATGTAAAAAGACGGCTTCCAAGTCTTGAAAGCTCCTTGTCCTTTAAAGGCTCTTAGGCAGACTTGGGAAGTCTTGTTTACACACTAGCATTAATTTGCTTAGCAAATCCTCTCTGCTGGGGTGAAATTAAATTTCAGTTTAGGCTCTGTTTGATCCCAAACTCCAAACGAAGGTGGCTTTAGTGTGATCTAAATTTCAGTTTTCTGAGATCTTTGAGATGAATGCAATGGATCTTCCTGTGGTTCCACAATGCACTCTTTAAAAGAACAATATACAATATGAAATGTCTGAACCATGCCGTTACCACAATGCCCCTCGTTCATGTGAACATCCCTCAAAGGTACATGCTCTCAGTACCCAGGGGAATCTCAAACCGCTTTCTGCCGACTCAGACCAGGAGTCCATGAGGAGGTGAAAGCCTCAGAGCAGGTTACATCAGCTGTGGTGCCCAGAGGAGGAGACAGGAGGAAGTCGGGTGTGGGGGGTGCATTTCCTGGGTGAGGCCGAATCAGCTATTTTGGACTCTGGTTCCTCTTAGTCAGTAGTCAGGAAGATTTCAGAAATGGTAACACTCTATTATTTCCACGGAACCATTCTCCTGAAAAATGCATTTGCTGACTAAGAAGGTCTTGTAGGTTCGCTGTCTGCTCGAGGCTTAGTTTACTACATCACAGAAAAGCTCCTTCTTCCCACTATACAGAAAGATAAACGGATGGCTTGGGAGCCAGCTCAGGGATTTGTGAACCATCACAGCAGGATGGAAATGCTGAGTTGGGAAACAATGAAACAAAAAGTCGAGCTCTCTGACACTGTCTCCATTACTCCTGTCATTTTAAGTCCAAGAAGAGAAGTTAGAAATGAGTAAAACTGGCACCTGCAGCTCTCACCGAGAGTTAAGACATGCCTAGTTGTTAATCATTGGACCTCTGTACATATTTATATTGACCTATATTTAGGCAAGAGGAAGCCACTTCATTCTGACAGTGCCATTTTTGTGTCAGAACAATTTGGTGTCATGGATGGAACTGACGTGGGTTAAATAAATTGCTTATTGGGAAAGGTTAAATGATTTGGGGATAAGGTCCCTATGGATTTCAGAAATGAAAATGAGTGATACAGGAGTAGAGTGGGCTCCTTATCCAACATGACTAGTGTCCTTTATAAGATGACACGTGGATATGAGAACTGGACAGTTGCAGCGACGAGCCAAGGAAGGCCAAAGATAGTTGGCAGACCCAGAAGTGAGGAAGAGGCAAGGAAAGTTCTCTCAGGGGGTCCCAGAAGGACCTTCTCCCTGCTAAACCTGATTTTTGGACTTTAATCCTCCAGAAGTACGAGACAAGAAGCAGCTGCTGCTGTAATTCACCCGGTTGTGGTACTTGGTCATGACTGCCCTAGCTAACTGATCAAGATGACTGACATCGCTCCAGGTGAGATGAAGCTGCCAGCTATGTGACCTTGGGCAACTTACTTGACTTCTTTGGAAGAACGCTTTCCTACCCGTGAAACAGGGATGAAGAAGGTGACTCGAGGTCTGTAAAACTCTTTGAGAATAAGTAGTCATCTGCCAATATATTTTTTAAAAAATTATTTTATTTAACCTTTTAAAATTAATTAATTAATTAAAATTTGACCAGAGAGGAACAGAGAGAGAGAGAGAAAGAAAGTGAGAAAGCAAGCCACCAGGTCCAGGACTCAAACCTTAGTTGGCCATGTGGGAGTCCATCGCCCCTAACCACCATGCCACCTGCTGGCCCCCCATCTGCCAATATTTTATAGCTGTGTTCTCATCTAGCTAGTGAATCTTTCCCCCATCCCTTCTTCTGTACTTGCTCATGCTTAGTTTAGGGCCCACTTATTTCTTGTCTAGAAAATGGTTTTCCCATTCAAACTATACACAATGTAAGTGCCTGAAGAATCTTTGCGGGCACAGATCTGAAGATCCTGTTTCCCTCACACAGCCTCTGCAGCCTGGTGTAGCCTCCAGAATCCTGTCGCACCTCTTTAGCACAGCTCTGGTCAAACGTCTCCCCTCAGGTCTCTCCTATCAGCCCCTCTGGTTCCCCTCCCCCCACACTGCACACTGAAATATTGTTTCCTAAACAGGGCATGAACTTCCCTTTTCTAAAGTCCTGCACCCTGCTGCTCCCTGCAGATTTTTCCACCTGCCCTTTCATGCCCCATGAAAACAACAAGCAATTTGAGGACAGGAACTGGGTCTTGTTCGCTTTTTTTGCCTCTGACTCCTCTGACTCCACGTGCTCTAGCAGCAGAGTGGCAGCTTGATAACCATGAGTTGGAGAAAGGAGTCTTTTATTCCTCAAGATCCATTTCCAAGGTATTCTATGTAAGTTCCTGAATTAGATGTTCCTTTCCAGACCCTATTGTACTTTATCACAGTTTTCTTTCTTTGTTTTTTAAATTGGTTTTTCTTTTCTTCTCTTTTTTTTTTTTTTTGGAGAGAGTTTTGCTACAGGGCACATGCATTCACTAGGGAAACAGAGACAAAAAGAAAGTGAGAAATCACCTCCCAGAAGGGATGGCCATGCCACAATCCCCTCTTCTTCATTCTTCTCTCAGGATCTTGGAGTAAAGGGGTCTCCAGGCAAAGCATGAACTGCCACACCTAGTTTTACACACAGGTCAGAAGAATCTCTTGACCATGTGGGAATCCAGTGACAAAACCATTATGCCATTTGATGGTCCCTTATTGTTTTTAAGACAGGCTCTTGCTATCTCACAGTTCTTCTGCCTCAGCCTCTGAAGCTGAAGGGATTATAACCATGCACCACAGTGCCTGGCCTTTTGGTTGGACCTAGAATTGAACTCAGGCCTTCCATGTGGTCCACACTGTAGAGCACTGTATCTTAGCTGCATGCGCCACCATGGCTGGGCCCTATCACAGTGCTCTTCATAGCTCCTCCGTTTCCGAATGTCCCCAGATCCATGCATGGTGCTTTGCGTGTGAAAATGACATGAATGCTTGTGGACTAAATGGAAAAATCATGACACATCATGATGTCTATAAATGCTTATGTGTGTTATTTGTTTGTTTAGTGTGAAAATCTTCAACTCATCCAAGGCCAAGGAAAAGCCAAGCCTCAGCCTGATCATCTTTTCTAGCTTCATGAGACCGAGGCAGAAGTCGTTAAGTCCAGCAGATCAGAGTGTGTGCAGAGGGGTCGTTTTCTCTGGAGCCCTGCCACTATTTGGGGTCAGTCACAGCTAGTTCCTCAACTCCAGGTTGTGCTGGGAAACCCTGCAGGGCCAAGTGAAAGGGAACAGAGAGGTCAGCACAAACTCTCCATGAGAGTCAGCATCTGGGCCAGAGGGCAGGCGGCTGCAGCTGGGTAGTTCCCAGAAATGGACCCCCGCAGTGTGGAGCTCTCCTTTGGTCTGTCCCCTTTCCACCTGCCCCATGATGAAGTCAGGCCAAACAAGGCCCAGGATGGGAAGGGAGGAAGTGAAACGTCCTGGAAAGTGATACACACACCCCTTCCCAGGCAGGCCTTGGAGTAAAGGGGTCTCCGTGCAAAGCATGAGCTGCCACACCTAGTTTTATACACAGCTCAGAAGAATCTGTTTTCTTTTTTCTTAGTTTTTTTTTTTTTTTTTGCCATAGGACACGTGGGCTCACTGGAGGAGGACTGAGGCAGGAAGAGAGTGAGACATCTTCCCCAGGAGGAGGTAACTACACCACAATCCTTTATTCTCTATCCTCTCGGTACTTTGAGCATACATGCACACACACCCCCAGAATGATTTTCAAGCCACAGGGTCGGGGACTCAAACCACAGTAGGTCATATGGGAGTCTAGTGGCTCAACCACTACACTGTGGGCCTCCAGAAGAATCATCTTTTACATGACAATGGAAATGGTCATGTATCGGGCACCGACACTTGTGCCAAGTCCTCTCTCTTGCTCTCACTGATTTGAAGTGACTTTGACCTACTCTGTAGAATGGGTCACACAGCTAACGAGTGGCGAAGACGGGAATTTAAGTCAGGTCTGTTTCACTTAGTGAATCGTGCTCTTGACCACTCAATATAGTGCCTTCCCAGCCTATTGCATCTGATCCAATTAATCAGTTAAGCAACTGGACAATATTTATCCAGTGCCTACTATGTGCCACGTACAATTGAGGTTCTGTGGGTAATGTGGCAAATGAGACTGATAAAATCCCTTTCTCATGAAGCTTTCATTCTAGAGAAGCAAAATAGACAATAAAAGCAGAAAAATAACTTTGGCTAATGACAAGTGCTGTGAAAAAATATATATATATACGGTAAAGGACAAGGGTCTTGGCAGTCTCTGAGATGATCCTCAACAAGGTCTGCCTTTTAATATTCGGGCCCTTTTATAATCACTCGAATGTGAGTTAGACTTAGTGACTCCATTTTAACGATCAGAATATGGCAAAGATGAAGAGAGACGGTTTCTGAGAAGAGGTAACAGCCTTCGTAAAAGTATTTGGAAATATTTTATGTACATAGGGTGCAGTGAGATGCATGTTATATTAAGGAACATTACTACATTAATTTCCAATGTTATACTAAGTAACAGTTTGCCTTAGAGACAGACCTGAGAATTTTAAAACATTTTGTAGAAAAAAACTCCTTCAAGCTGTTGATACATTTTTGAAACTCCTTTGGACCAGGAAACCGACAGATTTTATAACTTCTGCCCAATTTTGTTTAATGTCCCTGCTCAGGTCATTCTAAGCTCTCAATGCGATGAGCTCATTTTGATGTTCCCCGGTAACCCAGATTTCTGAGAGCTGTAAGCATTAAGAGCCTGACCTTGACTTTCATGGGTACTAAAAGGCAACACGAAGGCTTTCAGGGAGTATTTTTGATATGCATTTTCTCAAGCTATAAAGAAAAATGAAATGAGAAATTTCTTCAATTAGGCTCGGCCTTGAACAAGAGTTTAAAAATTAAACATTTATGAATAATAAATATATGAAAGGGGTAGAACCTTAATAAAAATCGAAGAAATGTAAAGGGGATGATGAAATATAATTTTTCATCTTTCAAATTGGGACATAATTCTTAATACATGCAGGATTCGGTGCAATGCGAAGTCTTAGCTCGTGCGGGATGAATTACTGAACAGCCTTTCCAGGGAAGCAGTTGGTCCTGCGGTTTAGGACTCTGACCCGTATTCATCCCTCTTGACTAGTGATACCAGGGTCCTTAGCTGCTTAACTGCCCAGCTGCTACCTTGTAGATATTTAGCAAGTATTTATGAACTTAATTAGTTATTATACCTAATAGAAACCTAACAAAGCTTTATCACTTATAAAAACATACAAAGATGTTCACTGAAGCGTTGACTTCAATATAGGAAATGGAGAAGCCCTGAATGCCTAAAAGAGAAGCTTGGTGAAAGAAATGTTTAAATGTCCATTTGATGGAACATTTTTCTGCCCTTCAAATGAAGCTTTAGAAAGCTTCTTAATAAAATGGGACAACATGGACAAAGATCAAGACCTTAAACTGGGTATATCGTGATCCTCAATATGCCTGCCAAGCAATACAAATACATAGCTACACATAGGAAAAATCATTTACCAGGAAGTACACCTCATAATTAATTCTTATTGCCTTTTTTCCTACTATATTTAAACTTTTCTTCCTGTAATAATCTCGATTTACATATATAGTTAGGAAAATAGCAAGATAAACTTTTAAAAATGATTCATTTAATTTATTGTTATTATTATTATTAGCTTGCTATAGGGCACATGCACTCACCAGACAAAGAGAAAGAGAGAGAAGGTGAGAAAGAAAGCCACCCAGTCTGGGACTCGAACTGCGAATGGCTATAATCACAATGCCAACATTTTAACAATACCTTTTCAAATCTAACTTAAAACATTTAGACTCTAAAATTATGAATATATATTGAACTAAAATTTATAATCAAAAGAAAAAACTCTGCTCCCCAAATATGACAATCATGTTAAGTGTTTTTTTTTTCTTTTTATTGCTCTTAAAGCAGTCAAATCATAAGCACAGGAGGAGGCCGTGTGGAAATAGGGGTGAAGGGCCTAAGTTCTGCAACCAGGCTTTGTTAATTAAACCTGAGCTCTGATACGTACTAGTTCGGTGACCTTTGGCAAATTATTTACCCTCCTGGAATCTTAACTTTTTCATCAGTAAAATGTGAATATTAATAAGGTCTCAAGAATAAATGCTTGTATTAAATCAAATATGTGTGAAGCCCTTAGAAGTCTGTATAGCACAGGGCAAGTGCTGCCTGTGTGTTTCCTTGTCACAGTATGATTTTTTGGGGGGGGGAGTGAGAGAGTGATACCAAGATTTTTGCTATAGGGCACATGCACTCGCCGAGAGACAGAGACAGACAGAGAGAGGGAAAGTGAGAAATCACCCCCAACAGGGATGGATGGCCATGCCACAATCCCTTCTCCAACTAGGATTTTGGGCATGCACGCACATGCATCAGGCGTGAGTTTCAAACTGCCAGGTCCAGGACTCAAACTGAGTTTGGTCATGTGGGAGTCCACTGCCTTAACTATTCCGCCACCTGCTGGGCCCCACAGTATGATTTCTAACCAAGTAGAGCTCTGTTAAGGGTCAAAGGTTTGACAGGACCAGCAGGTGGTATGGTGGTTAAGGCGCTGGGCACTCCCACATGGCAGACCACAGTTCGAGTCCTATGGTTGCTTGCTTTCTCACTTTCCTTCTCTCTCTCTCTCTCTCTCTCTGTGTCTCTCTCTGGTCACATTAAAATAAATGAATGAATAAATAAAATTAAGTAACCAATTCTTTAAAAAAAGTAAAAAAGGTCAAAGGTTTAAAATCTAAACCTCCACCTGCCCTTCTGGAGCCAAGAGGAGAAGCTTGATAGGGAGGCTTCTGAATTATTTTGATGTCTTATGTCTGCATGATTTAGTGAAGAAATCACAAAGATGATGAATTAAAAGGATTTAGATGATGTTGGTCTTAAATATCATAGCCTTTTAAAGCAAGCCCTTTGAAATGTACTTTATTATGAGTACTTGCATTCTCATGCCTTTAAATTGTTCAAAATAATACTGGGCTTGGGACCAGCAGTTGGCATAATGGCTATGTCATTGAACTCCCATGTAGTCGATCCTGGTTCAAGTCCCGGACCCGGTGGCTTAAACTCACGCCACGTGCATGTGCGTGTGAGTGTGCGTGCGTGCCCAAGATCCCGAGATGAGAATGGAGGAGAAGGGATTGTGGTGTGGCCATCCCCCCAGGGTGGTGATTTCTTGCTTTCTGTCTCTCTGTCTCTCTCTGTCTTTCTGGCGAGCGCACACACCCTATAGCGAAAACTTCTTAAGAAAAAACAAATACTGAGCTCACAGTTTACAGAAGGGTTCACTCAATCTAAAAAGAGAGGGGCAAACACACACACACAAACAAACCCGTGTGTGCAGACACACACACACACACACACACTCACACATAGAATCATAGTGTTTGTGAAATAGAAGTCTCTCTCTTTGAATAATGAAAGAACATTTGAGGTCTAGATCATGTCTTCCTCTTCCAGGAAGTCTTCCTTGGCCTGCTCACGAAGACCTAAGTCCTCTCTCTTCTTATGTCCCTAAACTGTTTTTCTAGAGCCCCTCGATGACTGTTCCTACTTCGATCTCCTATTATCATGACTGTGTGCATCAATATGGATCTTAAATCTCATGTTTTAGTCTTCTTGGTATCACCGAGCTAGGAGAATCTGAATAGCAGAACTTCAAAATTTTGAATGTATAAAATGAGAAATACTTGAAATATTTAGAGCTTGGGAAAAAAAATCTCAAAGATGCCATCTTAGAGTGGAAGATAGGAGATCTGTGATGACTGTGATGTGCAGGCAAAGAGATTTACTGTTTTAATTACTCACAGACTGTGACACTCAGAAACCTAACCCCTCTGATAATCATTATGCTTATCTGTAACAATGAAGACAACAGTATCTATCTCACAGAACCAGTAAGAGAACAGAAAGAGATAATTAACTCAAGTGGTTGTCACTTAGTAATACCAGTGAGAAACTTTGCTTAAGTCCACAAAGGTTGGTAGCTGCTAAAGACACTGCACGATACTCTGTTCTTAATTTTTCTTTGATTACCTTTGAGGTTTTGCCTAACTACTGTGGTGGTGGTAGGAGGAGCTCTTATAGGAAGAGAGGAAGTCATAGTTGTTGATGGTCTGC